AGCAGGACTTGCTGATCCAGAGAGTCCTTTCCACCCCATGGAAACCACTCCAGTTGGTCCTTAGATCCTCAAACCCATCTGCACATACAGGAGTCAGCCAAGATAGCCCTGGGCTTGCGTGAGTGCGGAAGGATGAACTCTTTAAAACAAGCCTCAGTAGAGCTGGCACAGCCTGTTGTCTTTCAAAAGGATTATAACTAGTTGCTGCTTGCTGATGAATACGGCTCTTTGTGAGCCTGTGCAGGGGACGTGCTGCACAGGGGAAAGGAAAGACTCTGGGCACTGATTTAAATGAGTGCAAACAAGGATGACATTGTTCTGCTGCATCCTCCCCAGGAGCAAGGCTTTGCAGGTCACCCTCAGATCTGAGACAACTACTGCCACCTCCGCTGTTTTGGATGGTCCAGAGAGCCCTTTTGTTTGTCTTGCTGTATCAGTAGGGAAAATCCTGCAGAGAATGGGGTCAGTGAAGCCTTTTGCCTGGCAGAAAGCTAAATGAAAAGGAAACTCCTTTTAGGTTAGTTATTTGTAGAAGGGATTTATCCTATTTAAGCATGCATATTCCAGACTGAGAACTACAGAAAACTGTCCTTGATACATAGGTGTTCATGGAGTCCTCGAATCACACATTCATGGGAAGTCAAAGCGTTAAAACCATCCAAAGTATAAAGTTCACTGAACTGTTGTGAGAAATTGCTGTGAATTGTCCAAATACCCCTGCTCCAACCCTACAATGAACATCTGAAATAGATACTGCAACAACTGAAATATTGAGCATACGTGAAAGGATTTAGGCAGGAGTTGTCTTGCTCTGGAATTTACAGGGGGAAAGCAACTTTGAGAAGTGCACCTTGTGTGTGGTACCACTCTGGCACTGCCTCTGCTCTCACCATTAAAAACAGAAAACAGTGTGCAGTGTTTTACTGAGAGCTATGTTGTGGCGAGGCAATGGGAAGCTGAAAGAATTTAGAAGAGAGTTCTGTCCCCACTAACCCCAGGTTGAGTTTTGTTTTGAAAAATTAAGTTGGATCCTAAAAAAAAAAGTGCCAAAATAACAGGATTTGGGCTAAGCCTAGCAGCAGTTTGGTTTTACAGGAGAATTCAGAGCTCAGAATTACATTTTAAGATGTACTACACCTGAGGAATAAGTGGTAGTTTGACTTTCCTTATTTTTGGCTTGGACATTAGGACTTGAGATAATTCCCAGCTCTTTCACTGACTTTCCATATAGCTGCAAACTTCTGTGTATTACAACTCACCTGGAAAAAAGGGTGTAAGAGACCTTTCATCTCACAAGCTCTCCAGTTAGGCACTCTACCTCCCAC